TCGGGGACTCCATGAGCTACTTACGCCAGCTAGGCTAATACACTTGAAGAGCCTAATGAGTGTGGGCAAGGCTTGAATAACCTATTCACACTACAGGTGTTAGGCGTTAATGGATGAGATTTCGATACGGTGATAGCTGCAATGTTCTTGCTACGGCCCTTGGATATATTTGGCCTACCACTGGAGCTGTGAAGTCGCTCGATAAGAGTCCTACACTATTTCCGGGATTCGTGTTACTCAACCTTGCTTGCGATGCTATATCTCGACCTTGACGAACAATTCCGAGAGCTGATATGGTATTTTTCATCACCAATGCTATTGAACCGACCGTGAGAGACACGTTGTAAAACAAAGCGGAATGCCGGATTTTACCCGCTCTGTGCTCGGCCTCTACAAAGCACCACAACCCACCTCTCATTCCGCAATCTACTTGTCCGTTCATAATTTGCTCCCTTCCGCGAACTTCTTCTTAAATCCAGACTCCACCTCACACCGTCGCGTTCAACAACCATGCATCTCACTTACATACTCGTCGTGCTGATTGCGGGTACTCTCTATGCAAGTAGCAATGCGCTCCCTGTGGTCGCGGATGCAGAAACCATGATTATGAACGGAGGTTCTCCGGATATTTTCGCCTCTACACACACGGGTGGCCATCGTCTGCTACTCTGTGTCGAAAAATACGAGGATGTGGTCGAGGTAAAGGAAGGAGGCTTCAAGGATAACATGAATGCTGTTGCAGGGAAGCTGGATCCCGCTAAAACTGCGGGAAAAAAACAAGGACAAGGTTAAAGACATCAAAGGTAAGGTATCGAAATCCGACTGTAACAAGTTGGTCAAGCATTTACAGATTCATGGATATAACAAAGGTTAAGAACTCCGTCAGGAGCAGGTGGCTTGTATGACCTATGCCATCCTGAACGAGTTGGGCGATCTTCTCTCAGTACGAAGTGAAAGCTGGTACAAGGTAGACTTCCAATGCGATATATCATACCAAATTTCATGATGTTGATTAGTCTGCTATAGCTAACAATGCGAAATAGCATCAATGATAAATGCGCTCCGATTGCCGAAGCCATTTTTTAATTATACTTGTTCAAGATACAAAATGTCCGCTAGATTCTCTGTCGATAAATACACTTTTTTGGGCGTGTTTTGTTTGAAAGCAAGCGTAAGCGCGACTGTTTTGAAGACAACATTCGTTTCATCCTGAAAATGTTCTCAGTCGGTATTTTTAGGTTACAGGCTATTTAACACTGCATGTGGCGGCACTATAGAAAATAATACTGAACTGAGTAAAACGCCTTTCTCACTGTCGGTTCAATAGCATTGGTGATGAAAAATACCATATCAGCTCTCGGAATTGTTCGTCAAGGTCGAGATATAGCATCGCAAGCAAGGTTGAGTAACACGAATCCCGGAAATAGTGTAGGACTCTTATCAAGCGACTTCACAGCTCCAGTGGTAGGCCAAATATATCCAAGGGCCGTAGCAAGAACATTGCAGCTATCACCGTATCGAAATCTCATCCATTAATGCCAAATACCGTAAATGATATTAGAAAACCCATACAATCATACGCCAAAAGGCGGAGAAAAGCATGGCATTTCAAGTTGGAGACATGCCATTGCATTTTTGCGAGGAGGCAAATACAAAACAACTGAATGATTCATGAATCTCATCCAGGAAATATTGTGTGTTATTCGTAAGTCCGCATTTTAATACCAGATTCTGCTGCTGGAACTGAAGAACTACCTTGATTAACTTGGTGCATCGATTTGTCGTGATGCTAGGTTGTTGGTCAAAAGGGAAAACCTATCCAAAGTGAAATTAAGCTCACAATCAGTCGGACAATGCGTACATTCATATTAATACGTAGTGTTTAGGGACAATTATTGAAAGGGGTGGCAAAATATTGGACACATTTTAAACGGCCCAGCTAGCTGACTCTAAAACTGAATCTCCAAAGTGTATGTGTCGCAATAGCGTCGTCACGCTATGTAGCAGTAGCAGCTCGCGGGTAACGCGGGCTGCATGTCACCGGTTTACGTGTTCGTCATCGGCGTGCGCGAGGGCATGAGGAAACACTGCCTAACGCGAGCAGAGCCGAAGATCCTCGAGGAAGCCTTCGCCATCGCATTGCGTGAGGATTATACGGTGTCGTCATCGGACGGTAAGGCGCTGTCGGAGGAGGCTCGGGTGTCGGTGCCCACTGATATGCTTTCGATGTCGAAAGCAGGGTCATCGTGCAGCAGTGTGTCGCGCACCTGCCCCTGCCTTAGCCCATGCAGCGGCCGTCGGAGATGCTGAAAAAACCATCCCGACCGCACAGCCAAAACAACGGTCAGGACCAGTAGGTGCGGGGCGTCCTATCGGCTGCAATGGAGTACGGATCTCCCGGGGGAAGCCCAACCTCCTAGCCCCTCTGTGCTACATGCAACTTCAATGCCACTACAGCCAACGACGCCACGACACTGATTATCGTCAGTCTACATGTCGAAGGCGCGCGGCGTCCTACCCGCGAGCTACTCGACTCAGGCGCAACGAATAACTTCCTCCGTGCGTCGTGTCTGCCGCTCCTTCCGTCGAGTGTAACTGTTAGAGAAGGCTCGACGGATGCCGTTGTTAAGTTGGCTGATGGTATGTCACGCCGCGTTCCACGGCGTGGCGTGTCGCTGTCTTACACTTTTGGCGCTTTCACGAGCAGCGACGTGTTTTTGGAGATTGAGATAAACTACGCTTTTGACTGCATATTTGGAGTGCCGTAGCTAGCACTATACCAACCGGAAATCGACTGGCTAGCACGATCGGTTGAACGCCGTGCCGATTTCGACGTCAGTGAAGTTTCCACTCATCTCTTGGTTGCACCAAGAGATTGGCCGCACGTCACAATAGTGGACAAGCCATCCACGCTACAATCCATGCATCGAGTGAGCCATGGCCCTCCTTATATGGCTTGCTCCGTGTCGATAAGTGAAGCCAACGTGATAGAGGATCCTTGTTGGTGAGCAGGGATCAAGAAGAGACGGACGAGCATGCGTTGCTCCCGAAGGTGAACGAGACGGCCGAGCATGTGTTGATCCCAAAAATGAATCGAGTGGTCGAGCAAATGTGGCTCCCAACGCGAAGAACGGCGGTCGAGCTTGAGACGCTCCCGCGGACTGATATGGCGGTCGAGCACGAGGTGCTCCTGTCATCCGACGACGAGAACTCATCGGCCTCGATCTCGTACTCGACGCGGTCGAAGAAATCCAAACGCAAGAACAACTCGCATGGGCGCCTAAGTAGTTCACGCCACACTCCACCTTGTAGGGGGGGGGGGGGGGGGGATGATGCTGATCTTGTCAAAGTGCTATCTAAGCTGTAGTTCTCCACCAGCGTGCCGAATCAGCTTCGTTTCATCGAAGTTGCAATCCCGCCTTCCGATGCCGCGTCGGTTACCAGTCCCCCGAGTCTATCATGGAAACATTTACTCCGGGACGTGAAGGCAGGAGAAATCGAACAAGTCTGTTAGATAACCGACGGCGACACTTCTCCCGTTGCACTGAACGCGGTCAACGACGTGACGGAGTCGTCACGACCAGCGGCGGCTGAGCCACAGTCGGCGCGAGAAGAGCGGTTTACGGCTCGGTCATGGTCCGCTCTCAAAGATTCAGGCAACCCTGCGTACGAACTCGCCTGCGAATTTGCAGACGTATTCCCTGAAAACATTCCAGCCAAGTTACCCGCCGATCGAGGCGTTCGACACGAGATCGATCTCGTGATACGGCAGTGGCCACTGCCGCGAGACCAAGTTCAAGCCATGGATGAGATCTTTGAGGAACGCCGCAAAGTTGGTCACGTCCGTGAGAGCATCTCGCCACATTCAAGTCCAACCTTTTGTGTGAAGAAGGCAACCGGAGGCTGGCGCATCGTTCACGCATTCAATAAGCTGAATGACGCCACAATTTCTGTGCAGACGATAATCTCTCGAAAGGACATGGTCCCAGACTCCATGTCTGGTAGCGAAGTCTTCAGTACGATTGATCTGCCTGATGGATTTTATTAGATCTTGATGAAGGAGAGTAATATTCCACTCCCAGTGGCTTTTTTCTGGGAGTGGCTCGCCATGCCCCAAGGATTGAATAACGCTCCAGCGACGTTCAAAAGGATGGTTTCACACATTCTTCGGCCGCTTCGGGACTTTGCACCCAGCTATTTTGCCGATATCTTCGTACACAGTGGCGCTGAGGACGGTCTCAGCGCTGTCGCAATGCATCTCCACCATCTTCGTCAAGTCTTCCAAACGATGCGTGACAACAAGTTGTACTCGAATCTGAAAAAGTGTGTGTTTTGCGCACCAGCAACCCCAGTCCTCGGCTGCTACGTCAGCAAAGGTGGCGTTCGTGCTGATCCCGAGAAGGTGACATCGATTTGTTCTTGGGCGATGTCCAAGAACCAAACGGAACGTCGACAATGGTTGGGTCTTACCAACTACCTTCACAAATACACGAAGAACTACGCGGGCCTTATTCACCCACTTTTGTCGTTGCTGAAAAAAGACGTTTCTTGGTCGTGGTGTCTAGAACATCAGATGGCCTTTGAAGTGGTGAAACAGAGTCTTTCGTCGGCGCCTGAACTGATGCTCCCCGATCCGTACATGCCGTTCCACGTTGTTTGAGATGCCAGCGACTTTGCCATCGGTTGCGCCCTCATGCATGTTGATGATGAGGGTTATGAGTGCGTCGTGAGCTACCATTCTCGAAAGATGAAGCCGACTGAGAAGAAATATCCCGCCCACGACAAGGAGCTCCTTGCAATGCGTTACGCTCTGATCAAATTCAGAGTGTACTTGCTCGGCGAAGAAACCTTTGCGGTATACACCGACCACGCATCGCTGAGAACTGCGATGCGAAGCCCACATTTGTCGCAGCGTATGGCTCGATGGTTGTCGTTTTTCTCGGAGTATAACTTTGTGGTGCATTACAAGCCCGGCAAGAACAATATCCTTGCCGATGCCCTTTCGCGACGTCCTGATTATGGTCCGAGGCGTTTGATGGCTCTTCAGACTACCTCTGATGACGAACGCGATGACGATTGCGCTGTCTGTGTTGTTCTTGGAATGGATCCCACCTTGGCGACTCCGGAGTCATCCATCTGTGAAGAAATTGTGGCGGCCTATGCTGATGACCACTTCTACTCTGCCATCATCAACCACCTCCGTTCTCCCAGCGACGAGACGCTGGCAGCACTTACGCGTCCGACCCGAAGTCATCTCGAGCGGTACCATCTTCACGGCGATCTGTTGACGTACTCTATCGACACGGTCGACGCTCCTCGGGTCGTCGTCCCCGCTGCCGACGCCCTTCGTGCCCGCATCCTGCACGAATATCACGCCGCACCCGTTGGCGGACATCTTGGTCGTAAAAAGACGCTCGCTGCCCTGTCGCGTGACTTCTATTGACCTCGCATGTACAAGTGGGTTCGTAAGTGGGTGCGCTCGTGTGAAATTTATCAACAAGTTAAACCTGCGGGTTCTGCCCAAGCCCCGCTGCGTTCGTTGCCTATCGCCACTAAGTCGTGGCGATCCGGTAGCATGGACTTCATTTTTGGCCTCCCATCTGACAAGCACGGACGCACGGGTGTCCTGGTCTTCGTTGATCGTTTCAGCAAGATGGTTCATCTTGCCGCAATTACCGCCCAAGTTACCGCTGAACAAACTGCGTCCTTGTTCCTTGACTGTGTATTCCGGCATCACGGGTTGCCGGAATCTATCGTGTCAGACCGTGATCCCCGTTTCAAATCCGCTTTCTGGAGTCACTTGTTCAAGCTGCTTGGGACGCGCCTTCTCATGTCGACGGCAGCCCACCTCTAGACGGATGGGTGAACGGAGCGCGTAAATCGGGCTTTTGAAGACGTTCTCCGCAGTTACGCGACGTCGTTCTCATCGTAGAGCGACTTTCTGCCGCTTGCCGAGTTTGCGCTAAACAATGGTGCTCACGCGTCGTCTGGCCTGACCCTATTCTTCGTTAACAACGCGCGGCACCCGCGCGTTCCTGCGCTGCTTGCCATTCACCTATCGGGTGACGCGGCGAGCGCCGCACTTGGTGGGGGAGGAAACGCAGGGCGAAGCACAAGGCCATCGCCTGTGTTGACATCGAGGTCGAGCGGAGACTCGAGATTGAGCACCCCCGAATTGGGTACACCGCAATTAGGTACATCCGAGTCGACTCAAAATTTGAGTATTAGGCCTGACCAAAAATGAGGATTTGTGTCAGATCAAAATATACGCGACCATTCGGCCCGCGATCTCTCCAGCCGCGACCCCTCGCTGAACGGTCGCGCCCACGACGAACGATCGACGGCACCGGTGACAAACACCGGCGCGGGAACTCGTGCTCCTGGAACAGTACAAGCAAACGCTGCCGCATCCCGCCCTCGCTCAAAGACGCCGCCGAATGCCGCAGCGTGGTGACGCCTGCAACTTTGCACCGAAGGAAGATGAGTTCCCGATCAACTCTGACGCGGTGTCCGAATTCCTGCTTCGTCGACAAGCCATCACACGATTTGTATGTGGTGCTCTACAGACAGCGGTCGACAAGCAGTAGGAATACCCTGACAGACGGGGACGGAAGAACACATCGAGCTTCCGACGAGGCGATCGAGTCTTGCTGTTTACGGGTGGCATTCAATCAGCTGCTGTGACAAACTTGGGTGCTAATAAGTTAGCCCCTCACTATTTCGGACCATCTAAAGTGACGCAAGTGATTGGAGACGCTTATACGCTGGATATACCTAAGGCAACGGGCTTGCACCCGACGTCCTACGTCGGGCGCCTCAAGCCGTACTACCTCACTACGATTCCGTCTGACGCGCAACCTTGCTAGGTGCTGGCGCGTAACCAGAGCGCCCAGCACGACGATGCTGACGCCGAGAAGGCAAGTCGACTCTCTCATCGCGAGATGGCTCCGCTGCCCAGTGTCTCCAAATGGCGCAGGCGACTCATCATCGCCCGACGCCTCGGTTCCGCCTGAGAGGCGAACCTCTCAGCCGCGTATGCGCGCCGATTAGCAGTCTCCGCAATCTGTTGAGTCTTCAGTGCGTCGTCTCTCGCTTGGTCGACCTCCCGACGCATCCGGCGATACTGGTCGATCGTCAGACGCTCCACTGTGCCGCTCTTCTCGGCTCCACGAGAAAAAGCTGAATCACGAAGGCCGCTATCGACGAGATCCGCCTCCACCAATATTTGATGCGGCGGGTAACGAGCGCTGGATCGTGGAGAGACTTGTCGACCCCGATGTGCGTCGTGGCCGCGAGGATCCCCCTCGCGATGTTCGCGGTCGTGATCGTCGTAGCGAGAAAAATTGTCGCGTCCGCTGGCTTGGCCACTCTCCCACTGATGACACGTGGGAGCCACGTAGTCGCCTGCTTGAAGATGTTCCTGTCGTGGTGAACGACTACGAGACCTTGCTCGCTCCGGCGAGCGTGACTGCTGTCGCTGTGAATGACTACGATCCCGAGAGTGACTTCGGCAGCACGAACGCCGGCATCGACGCGATCCCCTGCGTATCTCCGCCTGCTCCAGCTGCGATCACGACCGGTCTTAGCGCCCGATTGCCTGCTGCTCTACCTCGCTCAGTGGCAAGAGCTCCAGTTGATGCTCCCATTCAGTGCGAATCGGCCGATCCCGAGTCTCAGAGCAGTTCGCACAGCCTTCCACAAGGTGCACGTAGCAGATTCGCCACTCGTGCTGTGCCAGCTGACACACGTGCTCCCGCAACTCGCCAATAGCGTGGTTACTCCTATTGCTCTCGCGGTCTTCAAACCCAGGACGTGAAGGACAGGCCTTCACGTCGCGAGGCGTTCCGGCGTCGGATGAAAGAGCACCACGAGCGCTACAGGACGTCGTGTGTGTACGCAAAGTTGGTCGCCTTCCCGCGGGTTGCGCGGTAGCGAGTGAAGAAGACCTCCATCGTGTCCAGCGTCTCGGGTTCCTCAGCGCTGCTCACGCTGTAGAGCTCCCAAGGCTTGAGGTCCTCCTCCATCACGAAGTACGCTGGAGGGCCCGTCGAGTTTGCGCTGGAGCTTGTGGTCAGCATCGTCGCTTGTGTTGTGGTCGGGCGACTGGTTCCTGTCGAGCGCGTCGGAGTCCTTCACGGATTATTCTGCGTTTGCACTAACGGGACTGTTAGTGCTACTTCGAGGGGGGATGAAATGTGCCCCATTGCATATATAGGTGATCAGCTATAAGATATTACATATTGAGCAGTAGCAGCGCGCGGGTAACCCGGGCTGCGTGTCATGTCCTGATCGGCTTGGCTGATAATCGGTCAATCAGGCATCGTCCTCAGCTGAGTGGTTGACAAAAGTGAGCAGGGCTACTGCCCTGGCTCCATAATAAAACAGAGTTGATTTTTCCCCTATTCCGACGGCTTCGCCTCAGTTGGACTGAGTCTCCTCGACGCTTCCTAGCTACAGTGTATGCTAAGATAACGGACCGTTATAGTTCTTGAACAGGTAAATTGAGAACTGATTGAGTTTACCTACCTTCGTACTTCTGTGATCCTATCGTTCCTGCTCTCTAGGCGACTCCTTGGTCTAGTACTCAGTAACTTCTACTGGTTCACGCGCAACATGTACGACTTCAACCTTGCCTTCAATTGCAACCGCTTGTAATTGTTGTCTACATCTTCCAGCTGCTTGTACTGCACTTGGTTGTTCTGCTTCTTCAGCGGTGTTCGCCACACCTTGTTGGATGTTCCTCATCATCTTTTCAATCCCATGTGCTTGTACTAGAAGTTCTCGCTACAGTATAACTATTCAAAATGTCCACGTTTGTCCGCATCTTTGCATCATAGAACTCCTTGTGTATACTAGCAAAAATACTGATGCTGGTGTTCAGCTTCGTGATTGTATCCCTTCTTCTAATTGCCTGACTTTAATACCTAACAGACTGCATACTTGCATATTGTAAAATCACACGGTACTGTATAACTGGCCCACTGTACAACCATACTGTACTTGCATTGGATAACATACGTCACGGAGAGGAAAAGGGTAAATAGAGATGCTGGTGTGGAAACGCTGCGCCCCATCACGATGACACGCGAAATCTATCGTCGCATGCTGATTGAAGACGTGATCCCTGCCATAAAGCCCATGTGGGTGTGTATTAATGACGAAAAGGAGGGCGTTCGTTTAATAGGGGGTGTCAGACTTGGTAAAAAAAATCACATGCCATTTCGCCCCAAATCACATGTGATTTTCCGGAAAATAACAGGTGCCATTTTAGCGGAACATGAATCCCTTAATGTCTCAGTCTTCTTTCCTCACCAAAAGGTAACAACTCACGTGCGCTACCAAAACGGTTTACCTTTGTCTATTCAAGACGATACCCGTGTTGCTGACCCAAACGGGAACGTCCTCACGGCGTTTGCGGCGTTAACTTCCGTGGTGCAACTCCAGAAACCTCAAATCGTGGCTGGTAAGTTTCTGTCCGTTGAACCGGCCTAGCCGCTGTCTTGCAGCATGTCATACTCGTTCTTTCTGTAGATATGCCAGGAAAGCACAAAGCTACTGCTGAATCCTCTTAGGTCTATCTATCCCCGGAGGACTATTCTCTCCTCGTGGACTGGACTGAGGCCAAGTTCTCTCGAAAATTCTCGACATCTCGCCCGATTCATACTTGACCTTAAGTTACGCCGCGATAAAACTTGTACTAGGACTTCGTATAGCTCCTTCACGGTTGATTCGACAGGGAAGCACTCACACCAGTCATCGAACGGAGATCACCCACCGATGTATTCATCAAACTTTTCCTGAAGTATGGCGAGGGAGGGGTGATCAACGATCTCATCCATAAGCGCCTGTGGATCTCTTACCTTGGTCATTTCGCGGGTGTGCCTTTTCGACCGATCGCCGAGCTCTTTCTCGCGGAATTCTGACACGCCACTTTAAAAACTCATATCAAATGACATGCTATTTGCTGGAAATTCACATGTGGTTTGGGGCGAAATGGCATGTGATTATTTTTCGATTTTGTTCAAGTCTGACACCCCCTATTAATGGCGCAATACTAGCTGAGATGAAGTAAAAAAAACAAAAAAACAAAAAAAAACAAAAAAAGAACTCAAGATAGTCAATAATTCTGAGATCGAACTACAGAAATAAAAATATAATTTTGTCTGGACTCCTAATTAGCTAATTAGTCTGGTCCAGACTTATAGCGCAAGAGTTTTTTTTTTAACCCAAAATTGGTACACATCCGGAAACTGTCCTGATATCTGTATCAAAAAATTCCAGGCCTCACCCCGCATTTGGCCGGGTTACAAAACCACTCTGTATCAGCTATCATGCTCTTCATCTGTTAATGGTTGTGCTACTTCTAGTAGTCACTAAATGCAGTCTTGACTACCGTCAATAGGCAGGGTGTTTGGTTTGCCAACCAAACGTGAAAGCGTTCGATCAAATCATCAGAGAGAAATTGCTGTCCAAAATCAAGAACATCACCACAAAGGCAAATATCTCCCGGATGGGGTTTTGGACCCTAACTGCCGTATTGTAGCTGTTAAATCCGATTTAATGGTCACCCGGTTACCTATGATCTCTCTCTCTCTCTGAAAGGCAGCAACAAAGAAATTAGCATGCCAAAACTTGCGGATATCCACACCTACAAGGATTGAGGAAGGCCATGATACCTTTATACGACTATTGAAGGGTTCAGTGATTACAGAGCTATCATTTTGCCACGAAAGTTCACGAGTTTATCTGTGCTTTAGTCAACTTGATGATTCAAGAATACTATTCAATGGTTGACCATCTGTACCAAAGTACTCGACCAAAAAAAACAGAAACTTAGGCACTTACGCATTACCAGATAGTTTGGCAAGACGGGTGAGGTCCAGTGCGATCAGTGCATCCCTTTCGGCTGGGGTGAGTTTCATACTGCGTACGAGCCGAATAATGAGCTCTTTTGTTTCTTGTATCATTCGCTTTGCGATAGGATTAAAGTGATCGAAGACAACTATACCCCTCTCTTCGTCTTCCTCGCTCATGTCTTCTTCAGCTTTGTACCCTCGAAGAAATCTGCTCATCTTTCGTTGCGGAGCTCCGCCGGAATAAGCAACCTCCGGGACAGAAGTTTTAGAGAACGTTGTTGAATCCAGATCTGTGGCATCCTGTGCACAGATAGGGCCCGCAAAAACAGCTCCCGCAGCAACCAGGATGATGTATATAAGATGCATCGCAGGTCAGCTTGAGAAAAGCTATCGTCGCTTGGGTAGGGGGGGGGGGGGGGCAGTAAGTTGGATTGTGGGCTTGCGAGAGAGTTATGGAATCCCAAGTGTTCGCACGCACAAGGACGTATTTGGTTAGAATGGTCATTCTGTCGATTCAATACGCACTCTCCCATTTCTCACCTCGCGTATTGCGTTATGGGAAGGGCATGCAGAACAAATTTGATTGGAGACTCGCCGCAACAACCTCTGTGTCGAAGAATAGCCTCCGAAAGCTATGACACTGCTGTGGACGGTCGTTTTCCTGTGTAAAAATGCTGAATGGGAAATACAGTGACTTTCACCTCAAAACACATCTCATGATGTCCGTCGTTTATGTTCTGTTGTAATGGACTAATGAAGTAAAAGTATCAATACAAGAGTGCGGGTTCTCGGTCAAGTATTCTGGGGCTGGGATATTTCAATGTGATGATTCGACCTTAGATCCTTTGGAATTTCAGTGGACTTTGTATAAAGTTTGTATGGATGCTTCCAGGAAATTCGGATTCTCTGAATTTATACATCCTAAGCTCTTCTTGAACAAACCACAGCCAACTTGTAACTTAACGCTATTTCAAACACAATTACATGAAATAGGCCGAGAACCAGCACAAGTGACCAGCCCCTGAAATACTTCACAGGTCAATGTTACGGCAACAAAATGGGATTCAGTACTGCACTGTAATACAATGTAGTAAATCTGCACATCCTTTCAGAATACACCAAAAGGTTTGGTTTGCTCACGAGTGCAAATATCCGACCACAGCCAATAGAATCAGTTTAACAAGTTACTTTCCCAAAACCACACGCACTAATTTACAAACGGTGATACTAACAATTGTATCCATTTGGTGATGCGTACGAGTTAGTTCGTCGTGCATTATAAACGCATGCATCATGGTACGGGTCGTTCTTAGCTGTAGCAAAACTGTGAAGACACCGTTTCACTAATTCGTAAGTTGCGTCAGTGCTGTCCATCGAAGCCCACACGTGTAGCCAGCTAGGGCAAAGCAGCTAGGGCAAAGCAGCTAGGGCAAAGCCGTCAGTCTTCACTTATCTCCGCAGTTTCTTCGTCCGACTGCATAACTTGACAGTGTTAGATTAAGTAATAAAGTAGTAAAATTAGGTTTACAAAGAACTTTGTTAACATGCCTCCGTTTCGACCGATACCTCAGAGTCCGAAGAGCTAGAACATTCATTTCATTCCGGTTGACTGCTGATACCTGAGAAATCCGGTGCTGATGAACTCAATGTCATCGGTAGCTACGCGTTGACGTGTAATATGAGCAAAGGTAGCAAAGTGCGACAAGCAGTGAATGTGAATGGGCTACTTACGCCGCTTATTTGTTGCAGGAAAACTTCTGACTGTACCCAAAAGCTACAAAATAGAGCCGATATTCTACAAAACCGTCCTCTGAATTGACGGGTTTTGATTTGAATGAAAGAAGTACTCGGCACAATATCATCTCCATTTCCAGAAGTGCATTCTCAGCTCTGATGGCTTGATCCTTGAAGACGGCTTCCTCATTATCGTGTATCCTTCACTGGTGGATGTTCCTGAGGTCTGCTGAGTTCTGCATTCAAACCAAATGTTAGAAGAATATGGAGAGCCTGTGACTATTGCGCACCTTTTGGTAAATTAGGGCCAACATTTGTCTTCCTAGCTTATACTCGGCTTGAAGTCGCTCGCGTAACTCTCGGTTCTCATTCAGAGCTCGCCATCTCTCTTAGATTTGACGCTGAGCAATTTCCTGCCACACAAAGCGCGATTCTTTCTTGCTTGGTACGATTAACCGATAGCCCGGGGTGTCATTGGAGTAAGTGATGACTCTATTCTTAGCGCGTCCTTCATGACGTTCTCGGACGCTGTAGATCGTTTGAAGCTGCGCCAGCTTCGTCTCGAGCCAACTGAAGCTGCTCCAGCTCTACTTTATCTCGGCGTACACGCTTATTGTTGGTCTCGTGTGATGTCGTCATGCACGAATCTTTAGACGGTTGAATGTTTTGTGGTGGTGCAATAGTGAAATTCTCGGGATTTGTCGGGGTTTCAAAGTGCCATGGGCCGAGAAATGGCCCTATAGTGTCATCACGGACGTACTGCTCTGCAATATATCCAATTGATTATGTCGAAGTGATGCTGCTCTACACAGCGTCGACACGAAAGTGGACTCGACAACAAGTGATTGGAATAATACACATTGATGAGATGAGAGCGCATGACAAATTTTCACGCAAACACCGATTACAGCCATCATTTTTCTGCCCCCCCCCCCCCCCCCCCCCTTCCGCATATTTGTTCGAGCTACAGTATCCGCTCCACAATCTGTCCAGGGCACCACTCTTATTTTTGTCCACATCTTAATTTAACATAGCAGGTAATAAGTTTTAGTATAGTCAAATCTGGCTCAGAAGTGTATTAATAAGTGCATCGCCAACGCATATGCTGTGACCCAATGAACTTCTACTTACTGTTTCGTGAAATTTCTTGAAGGTCGTACTAGTTCACGCTGCTTCTTGCGAGTAGGCAACCCCGGGATGCAGTCGGCTTGTTGCTGATGTCTACATTGTACTTGCCGGTTAACCAGCACCTCACTTTAAACTTTTAACTGACACAGGGCAGACTTGTTTCCCGCCTTGTTTGAAAGTTCAAAACGGTCACAGGGTGTTTACCTTAGATGGCGCTTTTTT